TAATAATAAAAGGGTAATATGCTAATTAGACTGGACATCATTCCGGATGTCCTTCCTGACAAAGCCGGAGCAGGAGGAAAGATGGCCAGGGTCCCGGGAGCCTGCGAGTGGCCCGAGGAAAGCCAGCTGGGGTCCCTGGTGCCTGTGGGCGGCCAGAGGAGAGAAGCAGCCCGGGTGCCAGGTGCTGGAGGGAAGCCGGTGCTGGCAGCCAGGGGAAGGAAGGCCTACTTTTGCATGAATTTTTGTGCATCGGGCCTCTAGTTCACATACAACCATATGGCTATTGCACTTATGAAATCTATTCTAGACACTATTTTTTAGTAGTTTTGTGACTTGGATAAGCCCCTAAGCCATGCTGACTCATAGTTTCAGCATCTCCAAAATGAGAGGGTCTGAACAGATGATCTCAAAGGACCCATCAGCTCAGTGTTTTTGCGAGTCTATGACAATGAACATTTTGCAGTTGGAATATAGTTCTCCACATCCTCTAACATTTTAGTCTTCAAAATTCTTAAGATCTATATCATTGGCAATTGGAAAGATGTCACTTGAAGTTAATACCTATTTGTAATCATAAGGACTGTCCTCTTGCTTCCAGAAATAGCGCAATGATATCGATACGTCTCTCCTTCTAATTTTTTGACATGATTCTGAAAAAAAAAACAACAAAAAACCCTCAAGATGTGGATAATACATGCATTCAAACAGTATTTTTAATATTGTGTATTAGCTAATTTTAATAACAATGATAGGAAAAATATTAGGAACAAAGCACAATTCCACATATTCTCATGTGAAGCTAAAAAAATATTCATCACATGTTTATAAATTAACTTCCACTGTTCCTTAAAAGACAAATATGTATTAAATGCTTACTAAGTGATCTTCTGGTAAATTAACATTTCATTCTGTGATAACTTAGAAATTTGAGAATATCTACTAGAAATAATCACACATTTTCATTCATGAGAATATGAACATATGCTAAAACTTGGACATTAATATTAGAGGGATTCTTAACCTGGGGTCCATGGAAACATGTTGGCAGGGCTATGAACTACCTAAAATAGAATATAAAATTTTGAAAATGTGGTTCTGCAACTTCTTTCAGATGATGGTTCATATTTTTCATCTGATATTTTTAAATGTCTGTGATCCTTCTCAAAGGCTAAGAACCACTGCTTTTACATAGAGGTAGATATACACATAATAAAATTCCAAGATAACTGATCAATTTAGTGTTTTGAGTATTTAGTTTTATAGGTTAAATATGCATGAGAAGTTATGTATGTATCAAATTATGTTCCTGAGAGAGAAGAAAATTTAATATAAAAACACATAAAAAATTTCTAAGATTTCAAATAGCTGTTACAATTTATTGCTAACAACAATTACAAACATAAAATAATTCAAGTATAAATAGTAGCACATTAAAATACATTTGTTTACATTTCAACTATCTCAAAACTACTTAAATTAGTCAACACATTAAAAACAAACAGTTATGTTTTATAACTAATGTTAATGAAATATTATTGATATTATCTGTAACGTATAATTAAAGATTAGATAATTAAGATATATGTAAACACAAAACATAAATATACCCAATAAATAAGACCTTAATATTTTTCTATCCCCCAAGACCTTAACATTTTATAACTAAGAATAACCAAGAATATAACACCAATATTAAAAGATAATGTGATCAATAACTATCACAAGCAGACCTGTTATTATTTCAATTTTAAATACATGTTTTTCAAAGGCCCTTGGTTCCCAGTCATTCTTTGACGATTATAAAAAGCTATGGACAGAGATGGATCCTCAAAGAACTGGGGGCTCACCTTCAGAATGAATCTCAGAGAAGTGGAGTTTAACAGTCACTTGTTTTACATCAAGCTTGTGTGAATTAGCTAAAATCTTTTAACATCTATAACTTAATTTATTTAATAAAGAGAGAATGGAAAATAAATATAATAACTTAGTAAATTTATTTTCAATGTTGAAATTTAAATATGTTAAAATTTTTGGATTTTAGATGCATTATACAAAAAAATACTACCATCGTTTATGCACTTTCATTAGTTATCAATCTATTGCTATCTTTAAACTATTGAAAGCTTTTAAAGTATAATTTATCACCATAATATACTATAGAAACCTTGTTTTTTAAGCAGTACTAAAATCCACTACACTCTGAGATTCAGATTAAGATAGTCACTGATGGCAGCAAGATACCAGATTAGTTAATAAAATATTCACTCTCTCTTCCCAAAATGCATCTTGAGGAATTTACAATCTTTAGCAAAAGCATTCAATTTATATTTCAAGTAAATTCTAAGGAAATAATACAGGATATGAAAAAGCAATGTATATAATAATGTTTCATTATTACTGTTATTAAAATAACAGAAACAACTTTAATGTCAAGAATTAGGAATGGTCAAACACACAGTACATGGTTACCTTAATGGATGGTAATGCAAGAACTAAGAATGAAATATTTCTATAAACATGAAAAAATATAATTAAAATGAAAAAGCAAGAAACACCATTTTAAATATTATATGATCATATGTATGTGAACCAAGATGAGTATGAAATAAGATCTGGCCATATAGATATGTATATGATTATTCTAGGAGAATAGAGAATAAGCAAAATATATCCTATAAAAACACAGTATATGATTTAGTAACTTTCAAAGCTGGGCATTAAATAATACAGAGCAATAATCAGAAGAAAAAGAAAATGGAGAAAATAAAAAAATTCCCAAATAAATATTTAGAATGTACCCATATAACAAATCAAGGCTAGGAGGAAATAATTTTATACTCTAGTTCTCTTTAATATTTAGATATTATGTTATACTTAGTCTCTTAAGGACAGAAGTCTTACTTCTTTTGTATATCCAGCACAGTCTAGATAATCAATAAATACATCATACATAACTGATTATAGCAAGATGGGCAAGGGATGAAACAGCCTACACTTGTCACTCATTGAGAAAAATTACCAAGTCATCTTATTAATGTACAATCACTCTATTTCTTCCAGTAACTAAAATAACATATGAAAGTTTAAAAGATGTCTGATATTAACAAAAACTAATAAATCAGACAAGATAACTACATTTAGCTTTAATAATAAAAAGCTTCTTGAAGTTTTGTGCTTATTCATAAACAGTTGTAAAACAGATCATTACAAGGAAAAGTTTAACAATATAAAAAACTAAACAAACAGAAAGTAAACAGTAAGTTAAAAAATGTTTAACAAGTTAATACAATTTCCCAAAAATCAAGTCTCATTAAAATTGCAATATATCCAGGTAAATTAAAAATAGTTACTTTTACCTAAGAAGGAAGAGTAATTATTAGTGATGATTAAAGACAGCATCTTGAATTAGTTATTGTGCCGGATTCTTACAGAAACTGTATATGCAGGGACATTTTTGCCAATTCTCAATTATGTAGGCACAAGAAAAATTTGTCAGCTAGAGTTTTAGGCTGGTCTTTGGATATCATTCTTTTTTCTTTAAAGTGCTTGTTTTAAATGTGAAGCATTTAATTTACTCTTTTGCTAATTATGGTTTAAAATATAATTAAAATGAAAAAAGCAAGAAACACCATTTTAAATATTATATGATCATAAGTATATGAATCAAAAATAGATATAATCCAACTGACCAGCTATATGCTAACAGTTTCATTCTCTTCAAATGTATAACATATTACATCTAAATTTATACTTTGGTTTCAATTTGGGGGAAAAGAATGATAACTTATTCTGAAAATTAACTATGAAGGTGCTAATTTCAAAATGATCGTTTATGGTATTTTGTTCTCATTAAGATAAGGAGGACTTAAAAACAAACAGGGTTAGCTTTTAAAAATAAATATATCTATGAATTCAAGTGTAACATAAGCAATTTGCCTAATTACATGTTCAACTTCTATTTACATTAATTAAAAGTAATATAACTGTGAAATTAGCATAACCAACAAGGAGATTCAATTTTTGAAAAGTATAAATGCTAAAGGCTGAGAATGTATGTACATAATTATAAAATGATTGCCATTTATCTAGCAAGAATACCAAGAGTTTTAAAAAGGAAAAAGAGTAAGGAAACACATTCTCAAAATTCATTGACAGACATAGAACAACTAACTGACACTTCAGTTATTAAAACATATGCCCCAGTTAATACTTCCATAACCTGGGTAAATTTAGGGCTATTTATGAAACAAAGTTATGTAATTCCATCATCAGGACTCATAAACCAAAGAATACATAATATATTGGACATCATTTTCCTTTATCCAACTTTAACTGAAATGTACATGAATACCACAAGAAAAGATAAAATTTTCAAAATAATAGTTAAAATGTGTGCTTCTGAGGTCAATTAAAGTCTTTCACCAACTAAATGGAGAAGAGAGTTGATTTTTCTGCATTATTTAATCTTTTATATTGATCTCTTACTCCTGAATAGTATTACCATGAATACCACCATTTTTATTTGTAGTCAAGACACTACAATAAAAAGTTCATATTTTTATTTTAAAAAAAGCTCATGAAAATGAATTCTCAACCTAAATAAATCAAAGACAGTCAATTAATACCACAGTTTGTTTTGATTTTTAAGGATGAAATCAAGTAGTGGTATAGGAGACATTTACTCCTGTATTTCCAGTTCTTGCTGTGTAGGCAGAAAAAGAAAGAAAATAAAGTTAGAAGCATGCAGATAAATAAAATGTAATCACATATAATAAAAGCCATAGACTAATAACAATGAAGAGTCATTTTATTTTAAAATGAAAGTAGAAAAATATTAATAAATTTATTTGGGGGGAAAGCTAATCATTGGAGTATATTTATACAGGTCTATATTATTTAAATACAGTAAAAACTAAAAGCCAAAAATATCCTTTAAATTTTTTAAGGCTTGAAACTATTATAATTGTACATAATCTTTTTTTCTCTCCTCCAGCTTCTGTTTATCTAAGTAAATCTGGATTTACAGAGTAGTCCAAATAAGTAGATTTGGTTGGGATAAAAGAAAGCAGTGAAATTCCAGTAATTAGCTACAAAGCAGAAAACCAAAGTTAACAATGTTAACTATATGAGCTATCACATAAATAGTAATAAAGCCTACAACTTCTTTTAATATTATCCTTTCTGTACAAAAAAAGCTTTGCACCTGTGCAGAAAAAAAATTACCAGTTATTCCCATTTAACACATTACACTAAAATAAAGCAATCAAATTCTACTCTACAAACCATGTTCTTTGTGTAATCTCTAAAAAAGTTCATGAATGAGGAACTTCACGAACCACCCATGAAATTCTGATCCTAGAAATCTTTAAAATTAAATTTCACTCATGACCATAAGAACAGAACTTATACCTCATATAAATCATAGCCCTCGGATTCCTGTCTGTCGTAGGGGCGAATGATGCCATCTTCATGGATCAGGCGAGGGGGACGGAGTCTGGACACTTCCTCAGTTGATTCTGCTGCCCTGTATAAGGCATCAGAATAAGTATAAGAAACTGAGAATCCTTCAAAATAATACAAGTATATATGTTGATAAAACACTGTACTATGCTCCATATTATATCAGTATTTGATAAAAACAATCAGAGTACTTTTAAATAACTTGTCCCAAATAATGCAACAAATATTAAAACCAAGTCTGTCTGACTCCAACCTCTCCCAACTATTAAAAAAAAAAAAAAAAAAAAAAAGAAAGAAAAGAAACTTCAAAAAATAAAGGCAAAGACTAGGTTGTCCATTCTTTGTATCCTTGGTGTGTAGCATATAGTAGGTATCAATAAACATTAATTGAGAAAAAAGAGAAATTTAGGCATAAACAATGTCTCCTCTTACTCCTTTCTGGTGGCACTCTACCTAGTGAACCTGTCATACAGGAAGCAAAATATTTACCTAGTTATGTATCCCTCGCAACAATTAGCACACAGACACATATCTTGCACATAGTATATGCTTAATTACCTCTGAATTCCTTGGAAGGTACTGCTGGCCATATCTATGATTCCTCCAGTGGGACCAGCCACAGCACCCACAAGCCCTTTTCCAATTCCTTTAAAGAATCCAGCAGCTCCTTCCTTTTTGGCACCTTCATAAAACCAAAGACAATGAATGTATAAAGATATTTTAAAATAATCAAGTTTGAACACAACAGAAGCCTGAGTGAAATGCCAAAATGCTTACTCAAAAAGCTTCCAAATTTGGCTTTCTGAAGAAGTTAAATTTAATGATAACATGATAATCAGTGGTTCTCAAAGTGTGTTAAAAATGCACACTTAGGCCCCATCCTAGACCTACTGAATTAGGAACTCTGGGAGTGGTCCCAGAAATCTGTTTTTATTAATCCTTACCCAAGGATATTTCTCCCCTCCCACCCCCATCGAGTTTTAAAGAGAGTGGAAGGGAGGGAGGAGAGAGAGAGAGAGAGAGAGAGAGAGAGAGAGAGAGAGAGAGAAACATTGATGTGAGAGACACATCAATCAGTTGCCTCTTGTACACGCCCTGACCAAGGCTGGAATAGGGCCTGCAACCCAGATACAAGCCCTTAACTTGGAATCAAACCCAGACCCTTCAGTCTGCAGGCAATACTCTAATCATTCAGCAACCCAGCCAGTGCAGCAATCTGTTTTAATAAACCTTCCAGGTAATCCTGAGGCATGTTCAAATTTATAACTAGTGACTCAAGAGTTTAGTCAGTATTTGTGACTAGAAGGTCTAAGAACTGACCAGAAAATATCTTCTTTTTTTATGCCAGCCGTCAGGAAATTTTTCAAGCAGTGTACATTAATATATATCTATATATACTAGAGGCCTGATGTACGAAATTCATGCAAGGGACTTGGCCCTCGCAGCCCCAGCTTTGTCCTGAAGGTCGTCCAGAAGGATGTCCAGTCTAATTAGCATATTATGCTTTTATTATTATATATATATGGTATGAGTGAACTTTACTGAAATATAATTCATATACCATATAATGCACCCATTAAAGTATAAATTAAATTTTTTTTAGTATATTCAGAGTTGTGTAACCATCACCAGATTCAATTTTAGAAAATTTTTATCATCTCAAAAAGAAACCCTATGCCTATTAGCAGTCATTCCCCATTTCCCCTGGCCCTTCCCCATCCGATCTTATGCAATTTACCTCCTTCCTCCCACCAGTCAAACCTAGGCAGTCACTAATCTACTTTTTTTTCTATCTCTATGGATTTGCCTATTGTGGACCTTCCTACAATTGGAATCATTCAATAGGTGCTATGTTTAGCCTTCCCACTTGCCATCATATTTACAAGGTTCATCCACCTTATACTGTATAGACAGTTCCCAACTTACAATTGTTTGAATTATGATTTTTTACTTTACGATGGTATGAGAGCAATATCCATTCGGTAAAAACTAATTCGAATTTCCTGAGCTAGCAGTATGTGGATGATACTGTCTCATGATGCAAGGCAGCATCAGTGAGGCTCAGCTCCCAGGTGGCCATGTGACCATGTGGGTAAGCAACCAATACTTTACAGTGTAGTAGTAAATGCATTTTTGACTTATGATATTTTAAACTTAAAATTGGTTTATCGGGACATAACTGCATCATAAGTTGAGAAGCATCTGTACTTGATTTCTTTTTACATCTGTATAATGTCTCATTATATCAATATACCACATTTCGTTTATCCATGCATTAGTTGATGAACATTTGGGTTGCTATTATAGTCTGGCTACTATGAATAATGTTTCCATGAATATTTATATACAAGTTTTGGGGCAAACATGTTTTAAATTATCTAGGGTATATAGCTAGGAGTGGAATTGCTATGTCATAAAATATAAACTCCATATATTTACTTCCAGTTGTCCCAATATCATTTGTTGAAAGGCTATTTTTTCTTTATGAAATTATCTTGGCACGCTTCTAAAAAATATATTCACCATAAATGTAAAGGTTTATTTCTAGAATCTCAATTTCATTGATCCAGCTAATTATCTAGGGTATATAGCTAGGAGTGGAATTGCTATGTCATAAAATATAAACTCCATATATTTACTTCCAGTTGTCCCAATATCATTTGTTGAAAGGCTATTTTTTCTTTATGAAATTATCTTGGCACGCTTCTAAAAAATATATTCACCATAAATGTAAAGGTTTATTTCTAGAATCTCAATTTCATTGATCCATATATGTTTATCCATATGTTTATCCATATGCTAGTACAGCCGTGGGCAAACTACGGCCCGCGGGCCGGATCCGGCCCGTTTGAAATGAATAAAACTAAAAAAAAAAAAAGACTGTACCCTTTTATGTAATGATGTTTACTTTGAATTTATATTAGTTCACACAAACACTCCATCCATGCTTTTGTTCCGGCCCTCCGGTCCAGTTTAAGAACCCATTGTGGCCCTCGAGTCAAAAAGTTTGCCCACCCCTGTGCTAGTACCACACTGTCTTAGTTACTGTAACTTTATAGTAAATTTTTAAATTAGATGGTACAAGTCCTCAACTTTGTTCTATTTTTTCAAGATTGCTTTGGCTATTGGAAATCCTTTAAATTTCTGTTTAAATTTGAGAAGCAGCTTATCAATTTCTATAAAGAAGCCAATTGGGATTTTGATACATATTCCACTAAGTAAAGCAATGTTGTTTTTAAAATAGGATAAAAAAGTAAGTTAGTAGCTATTGAAGGCCCAAAGCAATCTAGTTTATGAACTTGCTGAACATAACATTTGAAGTCTAAATTACAGTCTACTACTTAACCCCTATACTTTCTGAGAAAAGCATATTCATTAAACAATAATTTAGAACTATGAACATAAAATTAATTAGAAATTCTCCCAATCAAATACCTATTAGCAATAAAATTTACTATGTTTACCATGCATCAACTCTTCAGAGCCTGTACACGAGGGAAAGATTATCAACTTACCTTCCATAGGTTTTGTTATTATTCCAGTCACTCCACCAACAACTCCCTGAAAGAGAAATCAATCATACAGTCAAACTTGAATGGAGGGTGCTTAATTTTAAATCAACCACTAGAGGTCTCTACAGACACACTAGAAAAAAACAAAAAAACAAAAAACAAAAAACCCACGAGTACTTATTTGATAATGTGAACAACATGTACACAGTGAACACTATGATTTTTAAAATGTCACAGCAAATGTTAAATGAAAGCAGCTTCTAGAAGTAAAATTTTATAACAGAAAGAACAGTAAAGCAGGTGAAAAGATTATTTTTATTCTTATTTCATATGGGATTTTTTGTTTTATTTATTTTTTCAATTACAGCTTACATTCAATTATTATTTTGTATTAGTTTTGGGGGTTAAATCTGTTTCTATAACTGCAAAATGAGTGAGTTGAGCCAAATTATCCTTAATATCTACTTATAAATTTTAATGAGATTACTTATAACTTAATGAAAGTGTGGAAAATTGATAATGAAGGGACCCCAGAAAGATTTTGAGGAGACAACATACAACATTACAAATCACTGGCACAAACACAGCAGGTATAGCTTCCTGAAATTTCCAAAATTAAAATAGTAATATATTTATACATTCCTAATAATTGTCAAGTAGTGGCATTAATTAAAACTACCTGCATGTTATATAAACATATAGAAAAAGAACTAAGGGAATACACCCTATTGAAAAGATTAGATACCCCTGCAAAGAGGTGAGGGATGACCAAAGAGTACTTAGAGCTTACCTATAATGATTTCATTACTTATTAAATATAAAAGGAAAAGTTATGTTTTCATAATTACTTATAAGGAGAATGTTCATATGTAATCCATAATTAAACCATATTCATATATTACCTGCATAATTTTTTGTTTCTTTGTTTGAAAATGTGATTAACCCCTCTATCCAATAATGGCCTACCTGCTTAACTCTAAGTATATTATGAATTAGATTTATATTCATTATTGTGCTATAGTCACAAAATTTATTGTAATGTTTGCCCTAAAAGTTTTTTTTTAATATTTAACTTACCATTTAGACATTAACTCCCCACCACGTGTGTGTGTGTGTGTGTGTGTATGTGTGAGAGAATGGTTTTTGGGGGGAATGCGTTTGTTGTTATTGCTGTTGACACTATTACAGATGCCCCCTATTCCCCTCCCTTTATCCCCTTCAGACCCTGCCACCCCCTGACCCCCAAGCCTTCACCACATTGTTGTCTCTGTCCATGGGCTGTACATATATGTTCCTTGACTAATCTCTTCCAGTCCCCCTCCCCGCCACCTATCTCCCCTCTGAGGTCTGTCAGTCTGTTCCAGGTATCCATGCCTCTGGTATAATTTTTGAAGTACTGAGAAGTAGTGAATGGCAGTTTCTGGTTTATACACAACTTCTACACCTCCCTTCCACAGAATGGTCCATTAATGATGACCTAAACTCCTCCTCCCCCCAGGTATCATCATTTGCCATATTTCTCTGCTTATATATTCCTTCCCTTCCACACCAGTGCTAACCTGCCATCATTATGGAGTTTTCACTCCAACCCAAGTGCCAAACTAAGTCTGCAATTTCGGGGATAGATCTGATGATGATAATGGAGGAGGAAAGCAAAAAGGAAACAGAAAAGTTCACAATGTATCACTACTGCCACTCTAACAGACATCGGCTCTCAGGCAGTATTCCAAGAGTACATATCTAAAGTGTACATAAAGTCGAGGGCTTCTTGAGGATTCAGCGTTAGACTTACACGCAGGAAGCCCTTTCCTCCTCTGGCCAAGCTGTCTCCAAAATCTTTAGGTTGTCGACCCATCTCTTCTCTTCTTTTTTGCTGATATTCCTTGTCCAATGTAATTGCTGCCAAACCTTTTCCAACAGAACCGGTGATTCGAGATACAACTCCTGCTGCACCACCTATCAAAAGGCCCAAAGAAGTAATCTGCATTGTTTCTTTAACAAGCATTACCACTGTACATAGCACGCGACTGCTTAAACTAACCATTGCTTAAAATTCTGTCTCATACATAAAAATGCAAACATTTATTTTTTGTGTTTCCCATTTACCAAGAAGAGGAATAAAACTATTTAAAGTACATGGATTCTATACTACAAAGACATAAAAAAATCCAGCAAATCAGTGTTAAATTACTTTCCATTTAAGAACAAGAGAACACATCTTTTAAAAGGATTAGAAAAATCATCTTTTTATAAAATACAATAATTTGTTTTTCATAAACAATGAATTTTATAATCTATACTAGAGGCCCGGGGCACAAAATTCATGCAGGGGGGGAGGGGGTGTCCCTCAGCCCGGCCTGCACCCTCTTGCAATCTGGGACCCCTCAGGGGATGTCCAACTGCCGGTTTAGGCCCAATCCCGTTGGACATCCCTCTCGCAATCCAGGACCACTGGCTCCTAACTGCTCGCCTGCCTGCCTGCCTGATCCCCCCTAACCTCCTTGCCTGCCTGATCACCCCTAACCATTCTGCCTGCCTGCCTGATCACCCCTAAACACCTCTACCTACCTGCCTGATCGCCCCCAATTGCTCGCCTGCCTGACTAATCGCCCCTAACCACCTCTGCCTCGGCCCCCGCCACTGTGGCTTCGTCTGGAAGGATGTCTGGAGGTCCTTTGGCTGTCCGGTCTAATTAGCATATTATGCTTTTATTATTATCTACACTAATAAAAGAGAAACATGGTAATTAGCATACAACCGCTACCCTTTTCATTGGCTAATCAGTGAGTATATGCAAATTAACTGTCAGCCAAGATGGCGGCCGGCAGCCAGGCACTGAAGCGAGCAGGGAGGCTTGCTTGCTGCAGACTCCAACGTTCCCC